CCCGTATGATCCCGTTTCCGGCGCACTACTGCCCCCTGCAGTGTTGGAGTGCGATCCTGTAAAGTTTGTTGCTTAAACAAAAGCATGATTTGCTGATTTGTTGTATTATTTAATCACATTCCAAATATTTCATTAGTTATTTGCTTCTTGTTTTATTTCTGACCTGAAGTCATTTATTTCTTTCGTCATTTCTCTTTCGTCCTTTGTACTCCTCTCTAGGGACTACAAACACAAATGTAAATCTCCAAAAGTTGATTCTGTTCACCTGGACGTAGCGTTTTGTGGGAGAAACGTTTCCTCACTCATCCAAGTGACTTCTTCAGTCTCACCCGAGGACAGTCTGGAGACTGAAGAAGTCACTTGAATGAGTGACGAAACGTTTCTCCCACAAAACGCTACGTCCAGGTGAACAGAATCAACTTTTGGAGATTTACTTTCCTGGATGATTGAGAATGCATCAAGACAAATGTAGATTGCTTTGCCGCCACCCCCCGCCAAAAAAAAGCCGGTCACGACAGACAAACAATGATGCCTTTATTGTGAAAAGACCACACCGGAAGAACGGCCAGACGTGACCCCACTGTCGACTTTCACACCATTTGAATTTAGTTTTTGTAATTTTGACAGCTTCTCGGAAGAAATGGCGACCAGTGAGGACGTGCGGGAAAATGTGAAGGTACTCTAGTCCTGAGTGTCGCCCAGACACTGCTCAGCTTTCTGTTCATTCACAGTTTATGGACATTTTTTTTATTTTGTCCACAGTTATTCGAGCATTGCAGAATAGTTGCTCGGGCGCCATTAATTTATAACCAGTGGAATTTCTTTTGATTTTAATAAGTTTCTTTTCAGGTTATTTTATGTATTCTGCAAAAGAAAGGTTTGCGGTGTCAACTTTGCTGTACGTTGTCTTAATAAACGTGCATGAGGACAGCTGTTAATGTGGCTGTGCAGAAATACTACGGCAAGCGGCTGAAGTCCTCGGGTGATCTGCAGACAGGTGCCGCCTCCTGCGGATCGTCCTGCAGACCAGCGCCCAGAAGTGTTACCGAAGCTCTGAGTGAGGTTCACCCTGAGGTGACCAAAAGGTGAAATCTCGCTTTGTAATCATAAGCAATTAAAGGTGTTTTTATTCTTACCAGATATCAGCAGTGAAAAAAACACAAATATGAATTTTTCCAAACTTCATTTAAGAAAAGCAAGGCCAAACACCATCACAATCACAAACTTTAGACATCTTACTACCAGACACCACATCTTTCCATAGATTTTCTTCCACTTATCCTGATCTTTTCACTTTTGCTCAGGCTGGAAGCATTTGGTCAGCTGACATGGAATAGACCCAGACAATCAGATTTTTGAGATTCCCACTTATGGGATCATTCTGTACTGCCTGATTAGAGACAACAGGTTTTCCTGTAATGACTGGTGTTATTGGCTCTCTTCAGGTTCTTCGGCTGTGGTCTTCCATTTCCAGCAAAGCTCGAGGGCTGCAGAGTCCTGGATCTCGGCAGTGGCTCCGGCAGAGACTGCTATGCTTTTAGTAAACTGGTTGGGCCGAATGGACACGTGACTGGGATCGACATGACACAGGAGCTGGTAATTACAGGTTTCTGCACAGATGGCACTTCGATGTCTGCCCCTTCCTGATGTAGTTAATTCATGTTCTTTTAGATCACAGCAGCTCGTCAGTATGTTCAGTATCATCAAGATAAGTTTGGCTATAAGGAGCCCAACGTCACATTTGTCCAGGGCTACATGGAGAACCTCAACGAAGCTGGCATTCAGAGTGACTCCATGGATGTAGTGATGTAGGTTTAAATGATGTAGTTGTGTTGGGTGTCAGGTGAAAAAAAGGAGCTTTAATTTGGTTGTTAAAGTTTTTTCCCCTCTTTGTAATATCTTCAGATCCAACTGTGTGATCTGTCTATGTGCTGATAAAAGAGCGGTGCTGCAGCAAGCCTACAACGTCTTGAAGGTTACCCTGACGAATCATCATTAACACAAATAAATGTTAACATGTTGTCACACACACACAAAGAAATATAGGAATACAAGGTGCACTCACTTATTTCATACAGGAGGGAGGTGAGCTTTACTTCAGTGATATGTTTGCCAGTAAGATCATCCCTGATCACATGAAGCAAGACGCAGTCCTGTGGGGTAAAACAAACACTACTTCTAAATCCAGTTAATTCAAAGCCAACCATCTCTGCCGTCACCGATAACTCTTCAGTCCCCGTCTCCTCTGACTTAGGTGAGGGGATGGGCGGCTCTCTGTTTTGGCCCGATCTAATCTCATTGGCCCGCAGCATGGGTTTCAGCTCTCCACACCTCATCTCAGCGAGCCACATTGTGGTCTACAACAGTGAGCTCAAAGCAAAAGCAGGTAACAAAGAGGCACATTTTCAGACAGCATTCACTCTGATTTCACAACTGAGCAAGCTCTTCATTTTGTAGGCGACATCAGTTATGCTTCAGGCACTTACAGGCTCTTTAAGCTGCCCAGAAGTCCAGCGATGTCAAACGCTACTGTGACCTATAAAGGGACGTTGGCAGAATTCCCAGATCAGCTGGACTTTGATTCCTCCCACTGCTTCAAGGTATAAAAGGCACCCTTTCTCTTATCAGCATGTACGCAGAGACATTTATTAACCTGCTTTTATTCTAAAAACACAGGTGATAATTAGTCTGGAAGTGTTATGGTTTTTAATTTCAGAAAAACGACATGTATATCCAATTAAACTCTTTTCCTCTTACACAGAAAGACGTAGCAGTGCAGGTAAACGGAGAGATGGCAGCAGTCCTCCAGAGTTCCCGTTTCTCCTCCGACTTTAAAATCCAGATGTTGGATAAACAAGAGTCCAAGTCGGAGACAACGCCAGAGGTATCCAACACCACAAGTTCACTGTGGCTAAAATGCTTTTAAATTTTAACTTTTTACCCCTTGAGAGCGAACTAAGAAAAACTCTTGAAGCTCTTTTCTGAGCTGAGCGGTCGTCAAATCACGTTTTTAGTGATATTGACTGAGATGTCAGAACTCATTATTAAAGGTACAGGTCGTTAATTGGTGTTTTGATATGGGAAAGAGTTAACGCTTCAGCGTGCTTAAGTTATGATATTAACATAGTTTTATCTTCTCAGTATTGCCACCTCAACCCATTTCTGCTGGCTGACAAACTGGGATCCTCCGTGAAGCAGTGCTCTAAAACAAGCAAATGAAGAGGCAAGTGACTGATCTGAAGGCTTAACAGAAATGTTATTTTTGAATTTCGGCTTTATAAAGACATAATTTTACTAACTAATGGGGAATCTTGTAGATAATCTCACAGATCGTGGCCAGTGACGTGTCTCCATATTTCATATTTAGACATAAAATGTATTTTTGTAGAAAACAAGTATGTTTCTCTGTAACACTATCAACTCAGAGTTTGAGCTTCTTTATGCTGATGTCATAATTACCATGTGAACAACAACATTTACAGAAGTGGAAATAGAAATACTTAATGACATAATAACCCGTGTTTAATATTTGACATGGAATTTTACAACAGCATAATAAAACGACTGCATTATAGGGGATTTAAACAGCAACATTCAGGTACTGAAGTGGATGCATGACGAGCAGCTGCCGACAGGCTGACAGTGTTAAATACGAAATGACGTAAACATTCAGGGGTGTTGAAACAGAAAAGTGTCGCACATGTTTAACATCTTTACCACCATAAAGGAGTTGTTTATTTTAAGGAACTAAAACATGTTTAAAGATGCCGCACACTTTCTCATATCATAAGGAATACATGAGCTACAACTCTGTTGTATAATGTATTAAGGCACTACAGTACACATAAAAAAAGAGGTCAAAAACAAACTTTTTATCTTATTTATCTTTCATGGGCAGTATTTTAAAGTGTTTTGTAAATGTTGTAAATGTAAATGTTGTATTCTCATGTGAAGTGTAGTGACGTGTGTGTTTAAGAAGTTTTGAGTGTATAGTATGAAATGAAAGACATTTAAGTAACTGAGAAATTGATAAAGTCTTAACATTTTCAGCTCATAAAAACATCCAAATGCACTCAGTGGCCACTTTGTTAGGTACACCTGCTCAACTGTACAAATATTGAATCATCCAATCACATCACAGCAGCTGGTTATCTCTTGATGTTCAAACTTAGTGTCTGAATGTGAAAGAAAGCTGCTTTAAGTGACTTTGAATGTGATGAGATTGTTGGTGCCAAACTGGCTGGTCTGAGTATTTCAGAAGCTGCTGATCTGCTGGGATTTTCCCACATAGAAATCTCGAGGGTTTACAGAGAACGGTCTAAAAAAAGAGAACATATCCAGTGAGTACTCAGCGTAAAAATGCCTCGTTCATGTTGGAAGAGAATGACCAGACAGCTTCAATCTGAAGCTGAAGGTAACAGTAACAAATAACCATTGGTTACAATCAAGATATCTAGAAAAGCATCTCTGGGAGCACAGTATCTCAAACCCTGATGCAGATGGGCTACAGCAGCAGAGGACCACCAGGGCTATGCGACCAAATTTTTCAGTGGTGCGACTAAAAAAAAATATTCGGTTGCACCTGTGCGACCAACTGTTCGGGTAGCAAAAAAAAAAAAAATCTGCAACCTTCCCTGTGGTCAACAACAGACACACATTATGCCCCTATCGTGGACTAAACCAATCAGAGATAGTCAGGGGCGGGACCTCTCTGATTGGCCGTGGTCCAGTTGAAAGTGCAGGTAGAAGTGGGAGGTGAGTAGCTTGAATAAAGTGATATCAATTCATTAAATCCTGAATCGACTTTTAAATATAACTGTGTTTGGCCAGAAACGCCAGATTCTCAGATTAAAGCTCACAAAACCATTTCAACAACAACCATACAGCAGATGAAATTCATAGCCAGTGCTCTGACACGGTGTCATCAATCTTTGAATGCTGAAAAAGCACAGTGTATCCAGAAAAACACATTATATTATATAAATTATTATAAAATTTGTGTGCGCCTAACTTTTGTGCCCATGGCAAAAAGTTAGTCTAGAGCCCTGACCACACTGGGTGGCACTCCTGTCAGCTGAGAAAAGGAAACTGAAGCTTCAGTTTACACGGCTCATCAAAAATGGACAAGAGAATGTAAAATGTTACCTGGTCTGATGATTTCTGTTGCGAGGTTTAGATGGGTCAGAATTTGGCGTAAACAACATGAAAGCGCAGATCCCTCATGTCTTGTCCCAGGGATTCAGGCTGCTGGTGGAGTAGATGTGTGGGGGATTTTTCTTGTCACAATTTAATGTTGCCTGCTAACCTTAACTACAGACTGTACCTTCCTAAGACATCACACCTTTAGTAAAGCAACCAGAAAAACATAAAAATAAACTCATTAAAGAGATCAGTGTGCACAAAGAGAGAATTCAATAAAGCTGTGACTGCTACTATAGTAACATGGCTCTTTAATAAGAGCAGATAAGAGAGGCCGGCTGGTTTCCAGGCAGCCTGAGGCAGAAAGTGGATTAACTGATGTCATGTCAGACAGAAGGAGAGAAAACCAAAGCAAGAGATGACATCACTCATCGCTGAGAGGCGTAAATCCTGGTTATATCTGCAGCCAGCTCAGGTCTTCAGCTCTGAACAGAAAAGAAGAGGAGAAAACAAAAATTAAACACTGAGCAGCTTTCACGTTATAAGCTAGTGGCTTGGTTTATTATTTTTTAAAATATGAACTAAGGTTGGTTTCGGTAGCATACAGTAGTGGTTAAAACTGCTATAAATAATAGTTGTCATCAAATTTTACTTTAAGTATTTTTCATGTTTTAGATTGCAGGTTGTTTTAGCATAAACACTCCAATAATACACTTCTCACTTCCTGCATAGCACCATGTGGCAGACAGATGCCATAAGCAGCTAACCTATAAATCATACTGAAGAATTTAGCATCTGAAGGACCAGATGTTCCTCTGAGAATTTAGTGGAAAGCAAACAGAGGCACCAGTGGATTTCAACATGACACATAAATGACAGACAATGTCATCCCGTATGTCCTGCATAGGGTTTGTCTTTAGTCTGTAAAGAAGAGGATATAACTTCCAAGGCTAAAAAGTGACGCCAATGCAGAAGCTGCAGTTTTTCTAGTGACCAGCAGGGGGCAATGCATATGGCTTCTGATCATACAGAAGTCAATGTCACTCCCATCAGTTAGATGGGAGATTAGATGTTCGAACATTTAATTTTAAAGGTAACTGGAAAGCAGCATGGTTCAATTCAATTTTATTTATATGGTGCCAAATCACAGCATATATATATATATATATATATATATATATATATATATATATATATATATATATCACCTAAAGGTGCTTTTTTTGGTAAGACCCTACAATCATACAGAGAAAACCCCAACAGTCAGACAACTCCCGACAAGCAAGCACTTGGTAACTGTGGGAAGGAAAAACTCCCTTTTAACAGGAAGAAACCAACAACAAATGTAACTGCTATTACAGTTGAGGATCTAAACATTTTTGTATATTTTACAGTCTAACTTGTATAAATGCAGGACAGCACTCACTGAGCCTGTGCTTTTGTTAAGATTTGGCCTCTAGCCATCAGCTCTGCGATGCAAGCCACGGCAGGATCGAACATCAGGCTGGCCGCTGCCACCACCACATCATCCCTGTTAAAAAAAAAAAAAAGGGTAACGTGAGAAACTTTACACACAGAGGACGAGCTTATGGTCAGCTGTTCGGGGCTAACTCTGCACTCACTTTATGTAGAAAGCCAGAAATTTCCTTTCTTCCATTTTGCCTTTGAATATAATTTCTGTGTATCCTTCCCCATAGCCTAGAAAGAGAAAATGAGAGGAGGAACAAAGATTTAACACAGCCTCATCTTAAAAAAAAAATTACATTTTAAAGGTGACATTTAGAAGTCAACACTCCACCGGCGTATCGGATACTCTTCCCAAGCAAAACAGTCCAGAAGAAAGGAACAGACTCGATTTTTGTGGATTTCTTCAGCATGTTCAGAGCTGCTACTCTTCCTGGTACAAAAGACAATGATAAGGTTTAACTCGGCATTAAATCACCCATTATAAGTTTTCAACTGAATGAAAAACACAGTCCTTTAGCCTCTCACCGTGAGCGTGTGACATTTGCCAGTGACCAATGCTGACCCTCTGGTCGCCTCGAATGGTCAGAGGGAAAGAGGTAACATCTCCAGCGGCAAAAATATCTGGTACGTTCGTCCTCATGAACTGTTAGAATAGATGAATAAAGGCTACAGCAAGAACCTCAACATAAGACGTGTAAAATACATACATGCAGCTATTCCCTCCATTCATCAGGGCACACAGTTAGGGCTATATTTTTTTTTAGTTTTTGCCTCTGTATGTTTTCAGGCAACGTCTAATCTGGCCTTCCATGTCCTTGAGTGAAATCAGTAGTTTGCACCTTGATGTAAACTCTCTCCATTCATGACGCTGTCTCTTGATTGTAGACTTTGAAAATAACACTTTCGCCTCCTTGAGAGTGTTTATAACTCTGTTAGATGCTGTGAAGCTGTTTTATTTATTTATTTTAAACTGAGGAAACATTACTATGGTCATGAACCAGACTGTTGATTTGACAGGTTTATTTTGGTTAGCGGTCATCAGATGTGCAGATAATGTAAGAAAGAGACCTTTTTGAAGCAAAAGTTTTAATTTTAACGTAGGAAAAGCAAAAGTGTACTCATATTGACGATGCTGGCTCACCATCAAAGCTTACGGTAACAGTTAAAGAAACGTAGACACCTCTGGGTGCCATGCTTTATGCTTTAGTTATATCAGCATAAGTTCGGCTGTGCCCTCTACAGGCTGCGTTACCTTGTCAACAATCACAGCTTTCCTTGAATCCACTTCCACCTCGCTTCCTGCCAATAAGTCTGAATTGGGGATTACACCTGAAAAACATAATTGACTCTGATATTGGTGGAACTACACAGGAAGTTTCTGTCTGACTTTGTTTAAAACAGTCATCACTCATAAAGCAATGTTAGCAAACACCACACATCCAAACGTCTCCACACTCAAACACTCCCAAACTTGATTTGCATTTCAGGCAGACCTAAACACTGAAGTAGAAAAATAACTACCAATGCCAGCAATCACAACATCAGCCTCCAGGACTACACCACTCTTCAACACCACCTGCTTCACCTGAAAATCCCCCCCCCAAAAAACCATCAGTTATGGCTGTTTAAGCAGAATATATTAGACTTCAGAGATAATGGGTTATTTTACAAGCGATACCATGAGGGTTGATGTTTGATCTTTGTTACTAATGCTGCGGGTGACATGTATTCCTGTTCTACAATCATTAACCAAACCGTCCGTCATGAAAATAATGGCAGGCAGAGATACCTTCCCATTCTCTCCTCTGATCTCGGTGACTCGATCGTTCATGTGGAACTTCACTTTTTTTTCTTCCAACATCTGAAAGTGAAAAACTGTGTTTTAATTATGTTAATTAAAAAAAATCCAAAAGAGTAGCACTGAAAACTGTTGTCATCATAGTCGCGCACTTGCATACTCAGCTGGCCGATCTCTGACCCCAGAGTGCGCTCAAACGGGTATTGAGTAGTGCCAACCATAGCCACACTGGCAGCTTTGTCTGAAAAGTAGGACGCCACCTCCATACCTAATATGCAAATGAAAAACACATCAGCGACGTGCACATTTGTGTGCCATAGCTGTCAGATATCTATGAGCAAAGAGCGTCACGTCAACCCCGATGGGCAAAAAGATGAAAGATGTCTCATTCTTTAACATAAAAAAAGAAACCTTATTTAATAACCTATGAAAGACGCTCCGGTAACAACTACTTTCTGGCCAAGGCTGGAGCTGTGAATGTCTTTGGCGTCTTCGTAACTCTGCAGTAACTTTACTCCTTCCAGGTCTGAACCAGGACAGGTGAGCGGCCGTGCCCTGTGAACAAAAAAAATAAAATTTTAAAAAGGGACCACAACTTGTGACATGTTGTGACACATACAATGTACGTTTGCTTTTGCTCATTAAAGACGGTCTCACCTGCAGCCTGTTGCGATGAGGAGCTGGTCGTAACGCTGCAGAGTGCCATCACTCATTTTCACTTCCTTCTTGGCTGGATTTACTGACACCACCTGCAAAGCAACGCACAAACCTTACACATACACAAAAACATACCCCTGTAGTCAAGTCACTTCGCTGGCTCCCAGCTCAAAACACAATTACATTTAAAATCCTGCTCAAGTAGAAAAGTGCTATACAAGAACTTGTCCATTTACCATTTTACCATCTCCAGAATTAGATCCAAGCGTGCTGAGGGTACTTTCAGTTACTGACCCGAGGTCAGTTCCAGCTGTGTCTACATTCAGAAACAGACTTAAAAACCTTTCTTCTCTCACAGGCCAAGAAACTGGACTAAGTGTGTGTGGGTGTGCATGTGTATGTTCGCTTGTATTTTAGTTTTATTTTGCTGTTTTTATTGTAAACCTACACAGGCATTTATGTTTTTATCTTCTGTGCTAAGCACGTTGAGTCTGAGCATAATTAAATATACTAAATAAATAAAACTGCTATTAATACTACACCGATTACCAAACAGCAGACCCTCTTAAGGCCCGCAGATCTTACTATTCCCCAAGAGAAGATTGATTTCCAAAACTTGGCGAGAGTGCATCAAAAATATATTCTAACCTCTTTCTTTGTCCACATCTCCATCCCGTATCGTTGATAAAAGTCATCTGGCCGGAGAAGGATGCTGCTGCTCTCCACATTCAGAGCCTGAAAGAAGGAATGCCACTCACTAAAACCACTCAGAGAGAAAAACACAAATCAAAAGACAGAAATACAAACACATGGGGCATCTACCCCCTTATCCTGGTGCTTACCTTGCTCAGTTTGGGTTTATCAAATGGAGGCACGGAGTCTTTAGTTATGATGATGATGCGACCCTGGTAGCAATTTTGCCGAAGCGTCTCAGCGCAGACCAGAGAGGCGGGGCCTGAAATTACAGTTTCTATGTTCAGGACTGTGATTTTTTTGATTTTTTTTTATACCTCCTAGTCTCTGTCTTCACTTTTGCCTGAATACTTTAAATAGTACAAAAAGCTGCCATGCCTTAAACCTGCCTGTCGGTTAAAACGGACTGATGAATATTTCCATCTCATATTCATTACAAAGTTCTCACCTCCTCCTATGAGCAGAATAGTATGTTTGACGTCCGGCACCACACTGCACATCTCTTTTACCCGTTTGGTTACGGTCAGAGACTGAGACAAACACACAGTGCATTGTAACACAACATAAAAGTGCACTTTGGTTCATTTTAATCGTCTTATACCTGATCTGCCTTACTTTTTTGTTGATTGAAACGTACACCTTGCCGTCTTCAACTTTGACCTGTTAAATGAAACCACATTTATGATTGTTGCCTGACTGTAGGTGAACAGAATAGTTTCCCTGAAAACATTTTTAATAGGCAGAAAGTTTGCTGAACCATAATGAGATAGGATAACAGAACCAGACGTGTATAGGTTTAGAAAGAAAAGCCCTTTTCATACATTATTTTTGCCTTTTTTTGATCAAACGTTCCCTGTTTGAGAAGCTCAGATGCAAAAAAAACCACAGCCTATCTCCTAAATGTTTTTCATAAGCTCAAATATAAATATTGTTAAAATGATCTGAGCCCTTAATTAATTTAAACTCCTTTAATATATCTTTATTCTTTATACAATTACATTAAACTGGAACCAGAACTTCAACGGTATATTAGTCAAATCGTCTCATGAGCGATCACAATACACACGTTACTGCCTGTAAAAGTAACATGTATGACCTTGAACTTGAACACAATCTGAGTGAAGATGCATTAGGTGATCACAGTGATCCAATTTTTGACCAAAACTGTAGGTGTAGTGATTCTGGTGAAGCGAGATGGGACAGATGAATGAGGGACACCTCACCATGGCATAAGCTGATCGACTCTTTGGGCAGGTGAGCTACAAAATGAATCCATCAATTTGTGAGAAAATGTAATAAACAATGGAGAAAATGACCCAAATGCAGGAAGCCACAGAATCAGAGGTCAAATCCAAAAATCCAGCTGTTGAATTGAGGTAGGTGTAAACAAAAAGTGAGGGATGAAACAAACAATACCACTCGCAAACTTCTTTAAAGCCTTTGACCAAGAATATCTGACAACATGGCAGTGTTAGGCAGGAGGTGTTTGTATATATACACTGCAGAGACGACTTGAATACAGGTGTGGCAGAAGGAGGGCTTTAAAGAGAAAAAAAAAAGCCAACAGAAAATATTTCACAATACAGGAAGTGACTGAGCAGAAAACCAGAATCATGACAAAGAAAACCCTGGATGAACTTGTGATAAGTGCCATTTCACCTTGTAGCAGGGCAGACTGTCGAGACCTGGATAATCCTCAATATCTCCATTCCTGACATTGAAGCACGCACCATGAAAAGGACATCTCACTCTGTCACCAACCAGCGTCCCTGAATTAACACAGAGCATGCAACTTAGAAAGTGAAAGAAAGCGAGAAAGATAAATAGCCGAGACGTAACTTAAGTCCTTACCCTTGATCAGAGGTGCACCGTAATGAGAGCACCTGCCTCCAACAGCGCTGTACTGACCCTCGCTGCGGACTAGCAGCACCTTCTGATCCCCCACAGTTACTTCTTTCATTCTGCATGAACACAAAAGGAGCAAAAGAAGAAATCATTATAAAAACCTTTGTTTTTTACCATTTTCCTCTTTTATTTTGATGTTGTATCTAACGTCCCTCTGTTTTTTTTAAACTCCCTGTCTTTGTGCTCTTTCCCAACAGCTTGTAAATATCACATATCGCTAATTAATTTGCTAAGTAATGGATCACACAATTACTGTGCCACCCGAAGGTTGATCTGCACATCTTTTAAGATTAGCAGCAAAGGCCTGGCTTCAGGGCTTTCTACCAAAGAGCTTTCTTATCCTTTAAACTATTTCCTTTACTTCGGCCACTTGGTTTGGTTTAGGAAAATATAACATCTTGGGTTCAAATATATCCTTTCAATTCACCGTTTCGTTAAGAAACGTTGGAATAAGATACCATGCTTCCCTGGGTGACAGATCAGGTCTTTGCTCCCGGTGTTTGTTTTTCTTAGATTTTTCGCTGTGTCGTATATGACCTCACTGGATGCATCACCACCTGGTATGGCAACAGCACCGCCTACAACTGCAAAGCTCTCCAGCGAGTAGTGCGGTGCTCTGAACGGATAATTGGAGGTGAGCTTCCCTCCCTCCAAGACATCTACAGGAAGCGGTGCCTGAGGAAAGCGGGGAGGATCATCAAGGACTCCAGTCACCCCAGCCATAAACTGTTCAGACTGCTTCCATCAGGAAGGAGGTTCTGCAGCATCCGGTCCCGTACCAGCAGACTGAGAGACAGCTTTTTCCATCAGGCCATCAGACTGCTGAACACGTCATAGACACCTCAGCTTCACTACTGGAACTTCAACATTATGCACTCCACACTGTATATAAATGCCACTTGTTTTGCACATATTCAACTCTGTATATTTTATATATTTTATTATTATTATTATTTTATTTTATTTTTTTACTATTTAATTTGTAAAAATGTGTATACACACACACACACACACACACACACACACGTAGGAAAATATTTAGTATACACATCCAGAAATGCATACACTATTATATATTGTACATATATTTATTAGTTTCAGGTTGGCCATTCTTGTATTTTGCTCGTTTGTGTTGTTGTGTTTGCACATCTCTGTTGCTTGTGGGGCTCGCACACAAGAATTTCACTCGCATGTGCTGTGCCAGTGTGCCTGCACATGTGATGTGACAATAAAAAGTGATTTGATTTGATTTGATTTGACCGTTGCTTCTCTGATCCCTCTGCACTGATTTTGAACTTTTGACCTGGTTTCCTGTTTGCAAAGGTATCACAAGCAGATGTGGTGAATTGCATTGTGACTTACTGTCCATCTTTGAGATCAGCCTCCTGACACACCAGTTCCGTCACCTCCTCCTGGGTCTCCGTTTGACCGGTTTCTTGGCACTGATTCATCCTGCAATACGTTAACCACCCTAAGTAAACATGTTTGCTGTTAGAATGACTGGGTGGGCCCGCAGACTGCCAAGATTTATGATAATGCGTGTCTAGACCAAAGTCAGCTACAAACCAGCTTAGTAGAAAACAGACAACATGCAGGATATGGCCAGAATAACCACACATGAATGGATTTAGCTGCTGTGAAACATTTTCATTGCAAATACTTCTACATTTCAACTGAAACGCTTCTTGGTAATTAAATATTAAACATTAATCACAGCTCACCTATGTTTCTAATTAACAGAAGGTAAGAGAGCAAATGCAGAAAAAAAAATATGTTGGGTACAGAAAACACTTTCTGCCTCGTTCTGCAGAATCGATGAAGATCATATACAGACTGAGCTGTACAGCAGCCTATTAGTATAACAAGGGTTCAAATGAAGTAAACAAGCATCATTATTTATATATAAGAAGGCCAAAACTTTAGGCTAACACTAAGACCAATAAATGGTAAATGGTAAATGGCCTGTATTTATATAGCGCTTTACTAGTCCCTAAGGACCCCAAAGCGCTTTACATATCCAGTCATCCACCCATTCACACACACATTCACACACACAATAGGTCAATGATGTCAAACTAATTTTACATCATGGCCCACATCTTAACCTTTTCTTTACATGCTCTCTTTAACCTTATTACCCTTCATGCTACAGACAAAATTCAAACCATTTCAGAAAAAAGACGAGCTTTACGGGGACATTCGGTGTGTCATTGTAACACAAGACAGTCGCAAGGCACTGCTGCCTGATCAGCACATGGTGAAATCAGCGCTGCATAGATTTTACCATGTGCACTTCACATTATAGTAACTCCTCAGTGATTTTTTTTTTTAGTTTTACAGCCAAAATGACTGAAGTAGTCTATCAGCCTGTATAAATCAGAATTAAGGGTTTATCGCCCTTTTTTTTTTTTTAGTGTAACAAAGTTTAACTACCTGTTTAATTCCTGAAATAAATTGAGGAAAAGAAGTGCAATTCCAACAGTACATCTCAGGTTTTCTACATGACAATGAAATCCTGCTGTAGAGAGAGAGAAAAAAACAGGAATTTTGCTGTCATTTAATTATTTAACTAGCACTTATTAACTTATTATTTGTCATTATAATTATTATTAGTATTATTTTTATTAATGGCGCCATAATGAACAGCCAAGGGGGAACAGTCTTTATCAGCAGGAAAAGCTGTAAAACTTATACAAAAAAACTTTTGTATACGATTTGTTGATAATCTGTTAAACATAAATCATTGTCAAGACACAATGAGATCAAAAATTCAGAAGCTGCAATCAGTTGTTGCCTGTTGTGACTTTTATACATCTTTATTTATCCAGGTAAACAGTCTCAAGAGAGACTTGGACAAGCTGGCGGCAAAACATAAAAGTTCTGTAGAGATATTTTAAGAAATAAAATGGACTGGGCTGATAACAATGTCAAACACGGAGTGGGAACAATAAAGCAGAGTCATAATGATGCTTGCAAAAACTGGCCACCTCTTTATTTCATATATCACAATACCTGTTTAGCTGTATAAACAATATTTAAACAACGAAAAAACAAAACAAATAACAAACATGTAAATAGCAAAAATCACTTTTTGGTATGACATCGGAGTCTTTGCCGTTAGATTTTGGCCCCCGTGCCCTATGTTTGACACCCCCGCTATAGACTGTGATTTACATCTAGCTTACAGCGATATCGAAATCTCCGCGTGCAGAAACTACGCATTATTTCCACGTATACAATAAAAATACAGCTAGCTGGTTTAAAGAGACAAACAGCGAGCCCCGTGAGGCTGCACTCACTTGTTTCCTTGCAGCTGAGCAGCACGGAGGAGAATGCCAGACTGTCAGATAAACACCCCCCGCGTGACAGCCAGCCGGTCCCGCGAGCTCCTCCCTCAGCCAACCGTAACCGAGGAGGAACAATAAAGGGATTGACAATGGGCTGCACAGCACGTATAGCGTATACAGTCCGTATACGGGAGGAACAGACCGTACAGTTACGCCATGAAAAAAAAAGATTAGCGCTGACTAACGAAGGATCAGTACGAACACCTGTGTACCAGAGGATAGATACCTGCAGAACCGCTTTTGCAGGGGCGTTACTGGGCTGTCGTCAGTGGGGTGGCACACCAGGGTGGGGGGAGGGAGGGCATTTAATCATAAATGATCTGCAGCATGCTGTGACAATGACAATAAAGTTTCTGATTCTGATTCTGTGCATGGTTTTCAGGCTTGTGTACAGCCATGTGCCCTATTATTAGCTACATGGAAAGAGGCAAAGCATAAAGGTTTGAAAATTAGTTTCTATTCCTTAAACGTAAAAGTCATAACCCAGTTTTAGTTCAATCACAGCTGTCATGTGGTGAGAGTTGATGATGATGATGATACGGTGGCCCTGAGAGGCCAAACAGACTGCAACTTAACAAAACACCAGCGATAAGAAAAACACTGCAAAGGCACAAAACACAATGGAAATAGGAAAAACAAAACACAAATAGGAAAAACGAAAACAGAAATAGGAAAGAACAGATTCCCAAAAGCACAAGGGAAGTGTTCCTGGGGAGACAATAACCCGACAGACCATTTGCAGGAACCAAAATATGCTAAGAATTGCGCTGGGTGACACTTAAAAGAAGTGGAGGATCTATCGGTTTTGTGAGGAAAGAAAAGATGAGAGGTAAGTCTGTTAGCCTAACTATTAGCCTAAAACGCCGGCATCTAATAACCAACTCGCAAAATAAAACAAAATAAAAACAAAACAACAAACACGAAAACACCAGACATTATAATACAGACTTATAATTTGCACCGATGTTTTTTCTATAAATTCTATATGCGAAAAGTGAGCGCGAGAGTCCTCTGTGCGCCTGCTTGCTGCTGAAGTAAACTTTATTGTCATCTCCGCTACATACAGTCCAGTATATAGAGAGACGAGACGACGAGGCTCCAGTTACAGCAGTGCAAGTAAACAAACAATAAATATAAGAAGAGTAAGAAAATAAATATACACTTTAGGACTCGGGGTAAAGGGATCAATAACAATTTAAAATTTATAATTTACAGTTTGATGATTTAAAGTCTCACACACAACCCGTCGAAACGGGAGGGAGGCCGGCTGCTTCCAAATAGAGCACATTTCATTCATAATGTTTGAAATCCAAGCCTATTATGTATTCATGATTTGAATCCTGGGTTGTGCGAAATCCCAGAAATACACCTTAAACAAAGTGAATCTGTGAACTAAGGTGTAGGTCTATTAGGTTATGTTGTGGCAATCCTCGATATGGGGGATCTTCATACTGGAGTGCAAAATTAAAACCAATGGAAGGTGGACAAGAAAAGTTCAAAGCCATCAGGTGCTTAGTTTTAGAAAAAAATAGAAAAGAAGAGGAGGAGAAACGAGCAAAAGATACAGGTAAGCAGATGTGTCATTGGATAATGGCAGGTCATGTAACCTGAAACAATCAGAATCAGAATACTTTATTAATCCCTAAGGAAATAATGTGGATTACAGTTGCTCCAAAAAGAAATGGTAAAAATAGTAACAGTAACAGACAAAACTCCAAACAATACATTATGTTACAGATTTTAATATTAATTAGTTCCGACAACAGTTTTATGTTAATGTACAATCCTTAATATGTTTTATGTATGCGCGCGTGTGTGTGTGTGCGCGCCAAACAGCCACTGGTCATCAGTATTATATGGCTGTATCCCAATTCAGGGTCTGCAGCCTTAAAGTACGCAGCCTTAACGGTCCACAAGGGCCGCGTACTCAAAGAAAGCTAAGGCCAGAAGTTTGAGGCTTGTGAAATGGGACAGTCTGGCCTCCATCATGCTGCCCAGGTTGCCTAGCAACCATGACACCAACCGCTGGAAATGTTTCATACAGCTTCGTTTGACAGAAATGAAGGAGAAATCTTTCGTTCATTTGTTTGTTTTCATATGAGCTTTGATTTGGTAAGTATCTGAGGCTGAGACCACAGGACTGTAAAACATGATTGTTGGGCTTAATTTCTGTACTGAACAGTCTTTCTAAGATTAGCTATAAATAACAATGAGCTATAATATAGTTTATGTTAGTTTGGTAAAAAAAAAAAAAATGTTATCAGAACTTTTTTGAGATTCTGGGTGTCCACACCACTGGGAGTTTACTGCTTTTTTATTATAACACCTGTACACATTTTCCTAAATATTGCCACTGACTTACTCCCTCCATATAATAATAATTAAAAAGATTAAGACCAATAAAAACTAAAATAATACCAAACAGTTTCAAACTATTAAAAACAAAAGTGAAATAAGAGAATCGCATCTGGAAACTAACTGAAACTGAATTTAAAGCAAAAAAATAAATCAAACAAAATGAAAAAGTGTGCGTACTTGCCCGTGAAGTTTTCCTCACAGGTGTACAGGCGTGTGAGAGGAGGAGGACACTAGCATTGAATTTGTCCAAACCTATCACCTCACCTCTCGCACATACAATGGGTTGCTTTTGTCTTTGCAAACAATAAGCAGTGCTAGGAGTGTCGGGTTTCAGGGTCATCATGACAATGACAGTTACAAGTAGGTTTTTGCTAAATCACCATTGCTGAAGTCTCTGTCCTACCCTTTTTGACCACTTTATAAGGAACATATAGGGTTTTTTTTTCTCCATGGTAGGACTCACAGTCAGAACAGATAGATGCTTTTACAACAACAGTGGTTAAGAACACACTTGTTGTGGATAATCAGCTTCGTTTAGAGGTCAAATGATACTTCAGGCGTGTCATTATTAACAGAAAACGAGAGAAGAGAGGGAGGCAAAGAATTGCTCCCTGAGTCTTGGACCCTTGGTTTTTAGTTTTCTGTTCAATGTTTTAGGGGGTTTTGAGGAATTTATGTTAATGCTCTGTAATATTTTATGATTAGAATAAGAAAGGAGAAATGAATGTATCAGAGGAGCAGTTCAGGTGGAGTGAATTTGGAAACAAAGTTAAGAGAGATGAGGCTGGATGGTTTGAATGGATGAACACAAAGCTCTTAGCACATGAAAATGATCACAAAGGATGGTGTGGATATGGTGGGATGGAGCCATACAACCCCTAAAGGAAGCTGCCAAAGGAAGAAGAGTTCATTAACAACAATACACAAGGTTATCAGAGCTCAAGAAACAATCATTCAAATGTCATTAGCCTTGCTGTGAAAAAATACAGTTAAAACATGAGACTGAAATCTGCTCATGTTCTCTTCTTATCTTTTGCTAGTGTGTCTTATCTTTTTAATTGTCTGTTTGTCAAAATCATTGAATATGTACACTGGACAATCATTCCACTCTAGAAAGAGAACAGTTCAAACATATCATTAAAAGCCCTCAAATGACCATTCCCATCACCAAATTACCAATCATGAGGCAATGTGACCTTCAATAATGTAGTACCATATCATAGCGTGCGTGATAGTGAAACCCCTGAAAACTGTTACCTATAACCCATACTCATGGATTTATGTGAATCATTCTCGGTCCAATAGAAAGAATGAATATTCCTGTGCAGACTGTTGAATAAATGCATGAAAACCTTAAAGCTTCTCACCCTCATCTTCTCAACATAACAGGCAATGCACAATCAGGATCCAAGGCGGTGACGCTTTGCCTCTGGATGCTTTTCTCTCTTATCTCTGTTGATTGTGAAATTTATAAAAGAAGCGTGGTTTATGCCTGATGATTCATGTGACTTCTAAACTAAACTAAGCTCGAAACTAACCGCTGTTGTTGTAAAGGCATCTTTCTCTCCTAACTTAGAGTCCTACTCTGTGGGAAATAAAACAACAAAAACTAAATGTTCCTGTGATGTAATCAGAAAAGGGTAGGACAGAGACGACAGCAATGATGATTTAGCAAAAAACAGACTCATTTATTTCCTAGCCCTCTGAAGCTGGACACTCTAATCATGCCTGTTGTTTGCAAAGACAAAAGCAGCCTATCATATGTGTTCGAGGTGGGGTGACAGGTTTCGAGAAATTCAATGCTACTGTCCTCCTCTTCCACTTCCCACACGTCAGTACAACTGTGAGGGATAGTGGTGTGCGGATCGATACTGAAATATCGATTCTTCTGATGCCAGTAATTTATGTTCTAGAATCGATTCTCATATTAAAATATCGATATTTTAGTACTTTGGGGTAAATTTGTAGTTTTTCATTAACAGGAACACCGTGGAAAGAAACTATATCATTCGGATCATCTAAATTGGAAGGAACTACAATTAGATAATATGTACATAATACAGCGATCGTGGCTCAAGAGTTGGCAGTTCGTCTTGTAATCGGAAGGTTGCCGGTCAGATCCCCGGCTCGGACAGTCTCAGCCATTGTGGCCTTGGGCAAGACACTTTACCTGTTGCCTACTGGTGGTGGTCAGTGTCCGGCAACCTCGCCTCTGTCAGTGCGCCCCAGGGCAGCTGTGGCTACAATGTAGCTTGCCATCACCTATGTGTGAATGTGTGGATGACTGAATGTATTGTAAAGCACTTTGGGGTCCTTAGGGACTAAGTAAAGCGCTATACAAATAGAGGCCATTTACCATAATACAATTATATATTGTATTATGAAATACAATGAAACATTAAGTTTTTGTACATCGGGAAATTACACATCAAGGAGAAAGGGCAAGAGTTGTGCGTGTGTGTGTGTGTGTGTGTGTGTGTGTGTGTGTGTGTGTGTGTGTGTGTGTGTGTGTGTGTTGTAGAGTCTGACAACAGTGGGGAGGAAAGACCTGCGAAATCTCTCCATTCCACAGGCCGCAGCCTGACACTGAAGGAGCTGTTCAGTGCTGTCAGAGTCTCCTACATGGGGTGGGAGATGTTGTCCAACAAGGATGACAGCTCAGCCACCGTTCTCCTTTCACCCACCACCTCCACTGGGACCAGAGGGCATCCTAGAACAGAGCTGGCCCTCCAGCTGGCCCTTAGAATATGGAAGTGGGTATATTAATGCCCTGATCTGGGAATGGTATTTATATAACATTCACACACAACACACACACACACACACACACACACACACACACACACACACACACACACACACACACACACACACTGTCAACTTGAATGTATGCAATAACTTTGGCTGCCCAAAGACACTTTGACACAAGGACTGGAGAGACAGAGATTGATTATCAATCAGAACCTTCTGATATTGACCGTCCCACTTTTGAGCTACCCCATATGGAGGAGGTGGTAGAGCTCATTCACCTCTTATACAGCTGAGAAGCTTATTGAATCTTACTTTAACCCAAAGTGTATTGTTTTTTAATCTATGCTGCATTAGTCTTTGGTTGTTATACTGGAATAAAACACTCATCCTACAAATCATTTTGCTCTTCTTTGTAGCTCAGTACGCTTTATGGTTGTGTGCGTTTTTGCTTTTAGCCGCGTGATGTCACTGTGTCATTAAAGATCACAGCAATCATTGTGTGCATGTTCAGGTCCGGACGTGAATGAAAGCGGCGCTCGTTTGGTCTCTACCACAGGGGAAAAAAACATGAGTGGGAAACAAAACATTAATTTGGCTTCCATGTAAATTCAGAAAAGAGTGGATCATACCACTATTATTTATTTTGCACTCATATATCATAAATATGTCAGAATCAAAGCACCACGCTTTCCCTTATATGATCTGTAGTCACATATACAAATAAACTACTACTCCCATGAATCCGCGGTGGTCTGAGCCAATGATTTGCGTTAGAGGCGGTGATGCTTTAAAGGCTGTTTGTAATTTACAACTTTGTTTATGGGAGGTTCGAGTGAATTCTGGAGGATTTGTTTGTTTGTTTGTTTGTTTTTGTTGTTCTTTGAATAAAGCAACAATAACAAGCTGTTATAAAAACTGCACATGATGGTCCAGCAATTAATATCTGTTTGCACATTCAACTGCTGTCTTTAACAGTTGGTAGAGAAGGTCGGAAGGAGCTTCACTTTGCCTTTGTTGATATGAGAGGGCATGTGACAGGGTGCCAAGGTAGGAGCTGTGGGACTGCATGAGGAGGTTTGGAGCGGCAGAGAAGTATGTGAGGGTGGTGCAGGGCAGTGAGGCAGTGGGGAGGTGTGTGGTCGGAGTGACCGATGCGTTAAAAGTGGGGGTGGGATTACATCAAGGATCAGCTTGGAAGAGAGTCTGGAAAGGTGGAGGCATGCTGTGGAGAGGAGTGGGGAAAAAGTCAGTGGAAGGAGGACAGAATACATCCGTGTGATGCGGACAGGTGTAGCAGTGAAGCTGCAGGGAGTACAGGTAGTTTAAATACCTGGAGTCAACCATCCGAAGCAACAGAGAGTGCACAAGAGAAGTGAGAAGATAGATCAGGCAGGGTGGAGTGGGTGGAGACAAGTGTCATGGGTGATTTGTTACAGAAAGATAACATCAGGAGTGAATGGAAAGGTTTCCAAGACAATAGTGAAGCCTGCTCTGATGCACAGTTTGAAGACAAAGACCAGAGGCCAAGATGAAGGTGTTAAGATTGAAGAGGATGGACATGATGAGAAATGATTACTCCAGAGGGACAGCTCAGGTGGAGCAGTTTGGAGACAAAGGTAGAGACCCAAGACTGAGATGGGTTGGACATGCGCATTGGAGGAATGGTGGACCAAAGGATGTCAAAAATGGACAGGAGCAAGTTCATGGATGTAGTGAAGGAGAACGTGCATGATGATAGGGTAGGATGGAGGCAAATGATTGACTGTGGCAACCATCAAAGGAAACAGCCAAATAAAGAAGATATTTCTTTATTTTTATAAAGTTATAAATTGTAAATGAGAGTATAACAGTGCGTAAAATAGGCAGTGTTGCATTCACCGAAACACTGTCCCGCAGAGCCTCTCAGAGCAGCAAAGTCTAAAGTACACATACCTATAATGTTTATAGTCGTTATGAACCCCGCAAATGTTACGAGAGAAGTTATGAGAGGCTTTTCGGACAGCACGTGAACTCAACACAACACGTGAAAACGCGCTTGGCCGCGCCCCTTCATAGTAGGGCGGGGAGAAGCTGCTGTTTGGTGTGTTGATGTCAAAAAGTTACACAAGCACTGATGAGGTTTTACAACAGGGTGGTTTCACAACTGGAAACAGGGCATCACTCCGATAGCTTCCATTCACACCTACCGGTTCTTCCTGTGATCGCGGACCTGTTCTTTACGGGATTATTATAGGCAGAGGGAGAAGAAAGAAAAAAGAGAGAAATCACTCCACGTTCAGTGCATGTCAGCGGGAAATCATTCACCAGACGCGTCCACGCCTTCTCTCTGTGGACAATAAGCGCCAAGCCGTGCGTTTCACGACCCTAACGGAGCGCCTGGTGACCTGAGCTGATCGGGGGCTCTCCAGTGTGTTAACGTGACTGTCTGGGTCGTCGCAAACAAGTAAGCCCGCTGTCGTGTGTTTGTCTGGGCCACGGTCGCCAGCAGCACAGCCACAACCACCACCGTCGCGTCTATATATATCAGTGCTCACTTTGTGGAGACTAAGGGGGGAGGCACTTGTGGCTTTTGAAGTCTTCACCTCGTGGACCAAACCTTTTCGCGATGGAGTTGGGGTCAGTGATTTTGACGATCGGGGGTTCTGTGGGATTTTTCAAGTTCGTGAACAGCGGGGTCGGAAAACTCCCCGCACCCGAGTCTGCCTGCAGGAACGTTTGGAAATGGAGAAACATCTCCACGTCGTGTGTGCACAGTATGATCACCGCGACGTGGGCAGTGCTTTGGTAAGACGTTAAGAAGTTTTTAATTCAGTGTAGATCTGCTTGGAGGAAAGGAAAATGTTGGGATTTGGTTTTGGTTTGGTTGTGCGCATAGATGGATGCGCAGGGATGGGTCCATAATGTGGTTTTAAACACGGCTGTATTTGATTTTATTTTTAATGCTGTTTGACTTCTTTAGTCACTGTTTACATAGCTTATGGTTTATTCTGCTTATCCCTATGACCCCATGTGTTAAAAGAAGCGCACTTACTGACCCAGGCATTTGGAAAAGCTTTATCTGAACCGCTGTCAATCCGTTTTTCCAGCTTTTTCCTGCACCCGCAGATGGCCGAGGATCTCATAGAGACTCATTCCGTGTTTTCTCACGTCTTGGTGTCTTTCTCAATCGGTGAGTAGTCTCCTACTTAGTTATCTCGTAGTTGTGACGCTATGTGTACGGTTTTACTGAGTGCAACCATCCTGAGGGGAAGTGTGAAATCTAATTCCTGGATGGCGCCAAAGTAGCTCCAGACTAAAGTGCTTACGTCGTTTATGTAAAACCTTTTATTTTAACGGGCAAATCCGAGGCATAGCTTGGCAGTTATCTATATTAGATTAACCAATTGGGCCCCTTTTTAACTGAATTTCATCTCAACAAATGAAAAAAAAAAAGTGATTTAACAGAGCTTAGCTTACTGTTCTTTATTTCTTTTAAATAAAACTAATCATGATTTGATATTTTAGTTACATTTTCATTTTTTATTATTTAGATATTTGTTTTCTTGATTTTTATCTATTTAATTCAGTTCTTTTATGTACTTTATATGCATTTTTTTTTTTTATTTCATTGATCCCTTAGTGCAGCAGATGTGGGTAGGAGTGTCAGAATGTGCATGTTCAACCTCTGGAGACATCAGTTTGAACCACTTGAATTTTAAAAATTTCCAGTTTGGCCATATCTCCATCTTAGGAAACAGCTGTTGTTTTGCTACAGAATTAAACCACTACTGATTTTTTTTTATGCTTGTGGTTATGAGTAAGTCAAACTTCTTCAGAGCTTCAAACAAAATAACTGTAATGCCACACATATGTTACATGTTGCCCCAGAGGTCCAGTAACAGGTGCAGCTGCTGCACGAGCTGTGCAGGTTTACCTTTTTACCCCCTTTTTTTTATATAGCACTATCACCCATAGGTTCAGACATGTAACCTTCATCCATGGCTGATTTATTACTTTTACCCTCTGCACACGTGTCTCTCACTGGCACACCCAGTCACCGTTTTTCTTAACAGACTGAGAAGCAGATAACCATTTACCGCCACTCCAGCAGCCACTTCAGAATCACCAGATAACCCGACAAGCAGGTCTTTGGGACAGCTTCAAACCTACACTGGCTGATGAGCCACTGTGCGGCCCTGCTGTTTGTTACGCTGGTTAATTCACCTGAGTCATCTAACAGATTTGTTAGATCGTGAGCCACCTTTTTTTTTAAAAAACAAAAAACAAAAAAACCACGAATTTTGAGGGTCATAGGTGAGAACTGGGTAACCGGTGAGGAGGGTAAAGAGTCCATGCTGGAAATGTGACTGAAACAAATAGTATTGTTTGTATTGCTACAGTTCTGTTAGCAAATGATTAAAAAGGTTTAAAGTCAACTTTTACATGGTGGAACGTGCATGGTTTGACTCAAAGATTGCTCAAAAAGGGCAAGTCCACTTTACTTTATCTGAAAAAAATATATTCGTAAATATATTCAACAGCAATTATTGAGTTTATAAAAAATTTACTTTTTATTTTTATTTTTCTCACTTTTATCCCCCATGTGAGGGATTCCTCTGTAATGTTTGTTTACCTGCTGCACATATACTTTCAACTTTATTTAGGTTAATTTGTAAACTTGAGATATTTCTCAGTTTTTGAGATAAAGTTTATATTATCAGATAATCTGAATCACACCGGACCAAATCAGAATGGTGTGGACATTAAAATGAGCATTTTTACACCCTAGAGCCTTGAAATAGTGAATAAGCTAAACCACAGGTTTAACCTGCTTTCTTTTTTACCGTTAAATTAATCAATATCATCGTAGCAGCTACCAGGATGTGTTTAAACCTAAAACTGCGTTTGACTGAATCAATTAAGCTCGGCTGAAGTTCACATACTGTGTATCAAGTAGGCTACGTTGAATTTTACCATCAGCTCTCTAAACCAGATTAGAAACTTGCAAAAATTCGATTTTCCCTGATTTCATTAAGATCTTTCAAACCAAGGTGCTCTTGCTACCCCGATTTCTTAAAATAGCAACTTTGCTCTGTTTTTACTTTTTCCTCATTAATGCTTTGAGTATTCTGGAGCAGCCTTTGGCACGTGAGCTCTCTTAACTCTGCACATTTATTGGATCTGTGCCGGGCCAGCGAGGGCTAACAGAGGATTCCCGGGATATTTGACATTCCTTCAGGAAACGCTGCTTTGGAGGGGACGAAAACGAGGAGCAGTGTTGGGATCTGAAGATCAATGAGGGCCATTATCATCGGTCCCAAGCACTGGGTGTAACCCCTGTTACAGTCATGTGACTTGACCAAGACGGCAACTGTGCAAAGAAAGTCACTTGATGTGTGCAAGCTGTCCACATCAGATACCACAGAAAGGCAGAAATGTGGAGTGATTCTGGGCCCTCAGCAGGTTTTCAGAGACTTTAGGGCAGCAGATTTGTGCGCTGTTCCTCGCTGTGTTACCACGCTGCAGACCTCACAGTAACATGACATCAGTGGTTCCCCACTTTTGTCCAGTACATAAAGCTGTCTCTGAGATAAAAAATTTAACACAATATCCTGCTTTCTCATTATACAGTGATAAGCATAATAAGATTCATGCCATATATATTTTATTTTACTTTTTAAGTACTGTTGTGTATCTCCTTCCAACTGCCTGTCAAACCTAGTTTAAATTGGGAGATTTTTTGTGTATACTTTTACTTAAAAAATGCTGTTATTCCCTGTTGTTTGAAAGTTTGTGAGCACATGTGCGTAAGTACAGTATAAAAGATGGCCGTAGCTTCTATGACTTCACCCATTCATGAAGTTCTGTTAGCCATGTTGGTGTTTTGAAACCATGACTAATAAGGGGCGGGTCTTACTGACTGTAAGTGCTGCATCCTCCCTGGCTAACCACTTGCGAGTTATTAGCCAATGAGCCTGGATGATCCTCTGCTCAGACACTTAAAATGAGCACAAGTTATAAAATGGACTTGATGTTTTATTCGGTCTGACCTGAGCCCATAAACTGCTCAGGAAAATGTTTATAGAGGTCAGGATATTGTGGAGTTTTCCCATAAACCTCTGTATGATCCCAAATCTGTATGCAGCTCCCTCGTTAGGAGTTAAGAGGATGTAGGTTTAAGGCTTCACCCATCTATGAAGGTGTTTTTCTGCCACTGGAAAAAAAAAAAACATTTTCCCAAAACAGAGCGAAGTTGTAACTTTGAGTTAATAACTCCAAATGTCGGGTTAATTTCTCAGAAGTCAGTAAGTTGGCATTTTGAGAGAATGACCAAAAATTTGAGTTTCAGATGGAGAAATTGTTGCGTCAATCTTTTATACTTGCCGTTCAAGTACTCCGGCTCATTCCCGTGCCTATAACAACTTCAAGTGTTCAATGTTGGTGGGTTTCCTTACAGGACAGCTCTGGTCCTTCTGCAACATTTGTACTGATTTACAGTGGCTTGCAAAAGTATTCAGCCCCCTTGAACTTTCCCACATTTTGTCACAGTACAGTCACAAACATGAATCAATTTTATTGGAATTCCACGTGAAAGACCAATACAAAGTGGTGCACACGTGAGAAGCGGAACGGAAATCAGACATGATTCCAAACATTTTTTTTACAAACAAATAACTGAAAAGTGGGGTGTGCGTAAATATTCAGCCCCCTGAGTCAATCCTTTGTAGAACCACCTTTTGCTGCAATTACAGCTGCCAGTCTTTTAGGGTATGTCTCTACCAGCTTTGCCCATTCTTCTTTGCAAAACAGCTCCAGCTCAGTCAGATTAGATCGACAGCGTTTGTGAACAGCAGTTTTCAGATTCGTACTTATGAAAGTCTTTCAACAAAGTCACTGAAGTCACGTATCGGCCCTAAAATCACACCGTTTGACTGCCCCTGCTTAAGTAAGCAATTCCCCTCCTCTAATGTAAGCATGACAATCAAGCTCATTTGGAAGAATCCAGTAGAAACTCATCTTCTCTGCCTCTCTGAGCTTTGGTGATTGTTCTGTGTCAGCTTTACACTGGAGATGTGCCCATCATTTAAAAAAAACACACACACACCCTCCTTTTTTGTTTTTGTTCTTCTTTTTTTTTTGTCACTCCTCTTTTTCACACCTGTGTGTCAGACAATACTGAATGAATCATTATGAAAACACAGCAAGTCATGTGTTCCGGTTGGCATGTCATGACTTTGACTGAAAATAACCTTTGAAGCTGAAAAAGCTGGTGTCTAAAAGACTACACTGGTGATCAGATAATAGCAACGCGTAAATTAAAAGCTTGATGTCAGTCTGCATGGATTATTTAATCTGTGGTGGGCTCTAATTTGTTTATGGCGAGTGGAACCCAAGCTTGACAGAAGGGTCCTGGTGTCAAATTTCCAACATAATGGAGTTAAATCCAGCCTCGATGAATGCCCCTCGCACCCCATCCGTCCCCATCCTCAAGCCTTCATTATGTTTTCAGCATTTTAAAAAGCCATCACCATGGATACGGCTAATAGCAGCCAGGGGCGCATAGCAGTGGAGGATATGAATAGGCTCTCTCTAAGAGGCATCTTGGTTGCCTTCGCTGCCGTCACGGAAGCAGACACGCTTGGATGAGCTCGAGTCTGATGTCGTCAGAGGAATCTGGTGCGTTTGGCTTGATTGATCGAGTGATTAACGAAATGCTCTCTGTGTCCACAGGTTACTTCATCTATGACTTCTTTGACATGTTGAGGAGCCAGAAGCTGAGCCAGTCCTGGGAGCTGCTCTTTCATCACATCGTGGTACGTGTTCAAAAATAAAAGACAAATGATGTCATACAGTGGGGCAAAAAAGTATTTAGTCAGCCACCGATTGTGCAAGTTCCCCCACCTAAAATGATGACAGAGGTCAGTAATTTGCACCAGAGGTACACTTCAACTGTGAGAGACAGAATGTGAGAAAAAAAATCCATGAATCCACATGGTAGGATTTGTAAAGGATTTATTCGTAAATCAGGGTGGAAAATAAGTATTTGGTCAATAACAAAAATACAACTCAATACTTTGTAACCTTTGTTGGCAATAACAGAGGTCAAACGTTTACTATAGGTCTTTACCAGGTTTGCACACACAGTAGCTGGTATTTTGGCCCATTCCTCCATGCAGATCTTCTCGAGAGCAGTGATGTTTTGGGGCTGTCGCCGAGCAACACGGACTTTCAACTCCCGCCACAGATTTTCTATGGGGTTGAGGTCTGGAGACTGGCTAGGCCACTCCAGGACTTTCAAATGCTTCTTACGGAGCCACTCCTTTGTTGCCCGGGCGGTGTGTTTTGGATCATTGTCATGTTGGAAGACCCAGCCTCGTTTCATCTTCAAAGTTCTCACTGATGGAAGGAGGTTTTGGCTCAAAATCTCACGATACATGGCCCCATTCATTCTGTCCTTAACACGGATCAGCCGTCCTGTCCCCTTGGCAGAAAAACAGCCCCATAGCATGATGTTTCCACCCCCATGCTTCACAGTAGGTATGGTGTTCTTGGGATGCAACTCAGTATTCTTCTTCCTCCAAACACGACGAGTTGAGTTTATACCAAAAAGTTCTACTTTGGTTTCATCTGACCACATGACATTCTCCCAATCCTCTGCTGTATCATCCATGTGCTCTCTGGCAAACTTCAGACGGGCCTGGACATGCACTGGCTTCAGCAGCGGAACACGTCTGGCACTGCGGGATTTGATTCCCTGCCGTTGTAGTGTGTTACTGATGGTGACCTTTGTTACTTTGGTCCCAGCTCTCTGCAGGTCATTCACCAGGTCCCCCCGTGTGGTTCTGGGATCTTTGCTCACCGTTCTCATGATCATTTTGACCCCACGGGATGAGATCTTGCGTGGAGCCCCAGATCGAGGGAGATTATCAGTGGTCTTGTATGTCTTCCATTTTCTGATGATTGCTCCCACAGTTGATTTTTTCACACCAAGCTGCTTGCCTATTGTAGATTCACTCTTCCCAGTCTGGTGCAGGTCTACAATACTTTTCCTGGTGTCCTTCGAAAGCTCTTTGGTCTTGGCCATGGCGGAGTTTGGAGTCTGACTGTTTGAGGCTGTGGACAGGTGTCTTTTATACAGATGATGAGTTCAAACAGGTGCCATTCATACAGGTAACGAGTGGGGGACAGAAAAGCTTCTTACAGAAGACGTTACAGGTCTGTGAGAGCCAGAGATTTTCCTTGTTTGAGGTGACCAAATACTTTTTTTCCACCCTAATTTACGAATAAATTCTTTACAAATCCTACCATGTGGATTCATGGATTTTTTTTTTCCACATTCTGTCTCTCACAGTTGAAGTGTACCTCTGGTGCAAATTACTGACCTCTGTCATCATTTTAAGTGGGGGAACTTGCACAATCGGTGGCTGACTAAATACTTTTTTGCCCCACTGTATCTTGGCTAAAGCTGTTTCACATTATAAGAGAGGCCTCTTCCAGAGTGATCTCAGCTCAGAGTACTGGTGCACCTGCGAGAAAGACAAAATACCGGTCTTTCTTGTCAAGTAACATAGAGCGAGGACTAAAGGGATGATCATACCAGTGCGACAGCCTCCCTCCACTTCACTTCAACCTGCTTTTTTGTGAACTTTGAAGTCCTCCTGACTTCCCCCCTCACACTCACTGTTCAACCACTCATTTGTTTCTATCACATTCCTGTGAAAGCGGGGCATCTTAGTGGCATGTTGACCCCTAGCATGCTGGCATATTTTTCTGAGGGGAAGTGGAGGTCAGAGGATCTGACCCTTCCTCCGGCTTTGCTCTAAAGAGGGAAAGGAGCACTGATTATTTTCTCTCCACGCTTCTGACTGCATGACCTACATCCAGGACCATGCAGGTGTTGTGTATTGCTTTCTGTTGCCAAGCTCTTTCTCTTGTTAGTGTAAGTGTATTACTGGCAAGAGCTTTGTTGAAATTTTTATCAGGTGCAGGTTGCTGCCAGGGCTGGAGCAGATTTGTACTGTGCAGCAGTCACAATTTAAGCCTCTGTTTGGGTGTTAATAAACTGTGTGGAAGTATTTTTCTGCAGACTTTAAAAAGCAGGTCACCGGAAATTATCACGCTGATCTTCCAGTTGCATATTTGTAGATGTAAAGTATGTGTTAAAAAAACAACTCTTTGTATTTCGGAAATGCTATAAATAAATGCTATCGCTAGAAAGATACAGGAATGTTTTTGGCTCATCCGTTATGTTTTTTTTTTTTAATGCAAATGATTCCAAGATAGTATATGGAAATTCCTTATACACGTCATTTCTCTGATATCTGACATGCATCATCGATCTGGTATTGTCTCCACTCTTCTGTGAGGATTTGGGTTTTTTGTTTTTCCTTTAACCAATCGCCAAAGAGCAATGAATCCGCCTGAATCAAGTGTTGTTTTAGGACAACGCCCGACATGCATCCAGGCCAGCATGCTGGTTTTGGTGGGTTTTTGAGAGTGAAGCTGAGCAAAGGAAAAACAGTCTCCGGTGTGAGGCGACACTGAGAGCACATGAAGATAAATATGGTCCCCTTTGTTAGTGCGCTTCCTTTGTTCTGCCACACAGCTTGACAGCCATGTTAAGGCCCCGTTTCAACCAATCCCATCACTTGATACTGTAGCTGACGGCTGGTCAGTAGTGTTCGCGTTGTTATTGTATTTTCCACCTCACGTTTCAGTCGAACTTTTCTTCTCCATCTTCGGTAGTTAATCCAATCCCTCATTTTAAATTTAAGAAAACTTCTTTAGTTGTGAATTATTAGTTATTTTACATGATGCCACAACAAAAGCCTGCTCAGAGGAGTTGATGGATTCAAAAGTTTTCCCTGAAATGGCACCAGAATGTCCGATCAATTACAGAAAGTGTGCATAAGCAAAAAATACAACAAATATTTGAGATTTTCTTTGTGGGTTGCTGGAAGGACACTGTCATTATCAAAGTGGTCACTGAGCACTTGACCCGGCAGGAGCAATTCTGTTTGTACTCAGTGGCTAGAGTGCAATTGTGTGTGTGTGTGTGTGTGTGTGTGTTTCCTAAAATTTCAAAAGCTCTAGATTAACATGCAAAAAAAAGACTTTATTAATCTCTTTTTCTTCTAACTTGCCAATGTCAAACCATGTGTGTTCTTTGAATTATTAGTAATGATGCAAACACTTGCACTTGGAGAAATACTTGCATCTAGCAAATTTGCAGTTAATTAAACTTTGGAAGGTTTACAAGAAACCACTGGTCAATCTCAGTCTGCACAGCATTAAAAAAGAAAAGTTCCCAGCAACACCATCTTTATGGCTGTGCTCATATCCAATAGTTTTGCTGGAACAGGATTTGGGGCAAAATAATACATTATTTGGTGTTTAGGTATCAGAAACTGTTCACTAAATGTGTTTGTGGACATAGTTTTAAGAGAACTTCACTGCATACAACTAAGATAACAAACATTGGAAATATTGGAATGGAGGGCTGCTATTGATTGATTTTTCTGGGGATTCTCAGTGTGCGTCTTTGTCTGGCTTTATAGGTGCCGGGTAACACTAAAAGTATTATTTTCCAGCATTATTTTGCTAATAAAAATTTGGCAAAATTGGTTTTTAGTTCTTATTCAACTCAGACATCACCGTCCTTACCACCTCACCAACCTGCAGTTCAAAGCTGCTGTTTCCGAAGGGCAGCCAATCGGAAGAAGGCTGTCATATAGAGAGGGCAGGTGTAAGGTAAAGATGGATTATTATGCAAAGATACTCTTGTGGAGTAAAACAGTGTCAAGATGGAGCTAGAAATGAGCTTTGCTAGAAATTCTCAAATGTTTTGGATTATTTGTGAGAAACGGCTCCAGCATCACTTGTCTGTAGGTGACAAAGGACTAACTGGGAGGAGATATTTGTTTTCCCTTTTTTCCTGAAAGTCTCGTCTTTTCCTCTTTCACTTCCTGGAGGTTTAGTGAATGGGTGCTTTGGCCAGGCCAGCTGGCTTCGGATTGTCATTAGAGCGTGGGAGGCCATTCACACAGCTCTCTGTGCTTCTCAGCAAACTAAATCTCTTTACACCCTTCGTTTCCCGATTGTACCATTCATCCTTTTCTGTGACGTCCTCCGCTTCATTTCAGCGTTAAGCAATCCTCCCTCAACTCTTTCGCTATATTGACATCATCTTGACTCATTTCTTTTCTACTTTTGTTGCTCTTTTCCTTGTTTCTTTCAAATGCATATGGTATACAGAAGGTTACTGTGTCAGGTGTTCACATACCAGTCACCTGAAGTCCAAGGAGTTTTCCCAGTGTGCTAAGACCTGAACCCAGTAAGACCAGCTGGCCATGCAGTCCTAGAACAGAAGGCTGCTCTCTAGTTAATCTTCAACTCATATGGGCAGCCAGCTGATTCATATTCCCCCTGCATTTCATCTCCCCATTGCTGCAGACCTAGTGTACAATCTGGCTTTGCCTGAGCAGTGACACATGCAAACTAAAATGTGCATATGCCATGCTGCATGTAGAGCAATTGTGTGACTGGAAGACACACCCTCCCATATTGTCCACAAGTTATTGGAAAATATGGGAGGGTGTGTCTTTAGAGAAAAGTTTTGAACATGTGTTTAAAAAAGTTTATCCTTATATGTTGACTGCTGATTAATGTAGGCCATAAAATAAAATGCTCAAAACAAACCCTCTGACTAAATATTGTTGACTTTACAGGTGGAAACGCATGTAAAAATACATTTTGAATGTCAGTTGTGGTCACACCTGTTGCTAGGTCTTGTAAATGTGAAGTGCACACTAAC